CAGGGAGCCTACACTGCAGAGAAGCAAGATTGCCCTACGATAAAGCGGCAGTGCCGTGCGGCGCGCACTGGCCGCACTGCAGACCGTCGTCACGATTTTTAGAGTCGACGATACTTTCCACGCCCTGTTTTATTAGGCTTGATTTCTTAGAGATACTGAAGCTGTATTGGTCAGATAGAAAAAGAATACTGGCAATAAATGGTCTCAGGTGTTTTATTTAAAGACTAGTACATAAACGCTGCGATCCCCAATCATTAAATCAATCAATCAATCAATCCATCACTATTGCAGCTTTTTTCTCCGCATTGTTATTATGAGTATGCAATTATCCAGTATCGTTGAGTTTAGGCCAACAAATATCAACAAATATATAGAACTAGATGGCAAACCCGGCTCCGCCCGGGACCAAACTTTGCACACATACACTTCGGGGCAGGGAGCATGTCATAGTCTACTTTTCGTACGAAAAGTAGCCTATGACACGCTCCCTGCCCCGAAGTATATGTGTGCCAAGTTTGGTCCAAATCGGTTCAGAAATAAAAATTTCTATTCCGCACATACGTACAGACAGACATACATACAGACAGACATTCAGCTTTATATATAAGATTCATGCACCAATCTTGTCATATGGAGTGCTCTCTTTTTTAAATGGGTTCGAGTGTTGTATCAATATCGTTTGTGTCAACAGACTATCTAAGTATGCCATATGTCCATTCACGTTAACAAATTCTATACGTGAACAGCGGGAACAGCAATAAAAAAGATAGTATAATAACTAGCTCATTCTCTTTGTGTCGCACCACCGTCTCATCTCAACTGGCCAATGAAACATCGAAAACGGAGTATTAATACTCAAGGTTTTGCGTTAACAGATTTGAAGTCATAAGCTAGAGTAATTGACATCGTCTGACATTGACACCGAGGGCTCGTCTCTGTGCTGCTGGCATCCGCTTTTTTGTGACACTTGAAGGAGCAACTCGGACTTACATCATCACAGTTCAGAAGTACAATACCGCTCACAGAATGTGCAAAATTTCCGTGAATGTCGCGAAATTCCGGGAATTCCGCGAACTTCCGCGAAATTCCGGGAATTCCGCGAAATTCTGGGAATTCCGCGAAATTCCGGAAATTCCGCGAAATTCATGTGAATCACGCAAACTACGCAGGGCCATAACTTCTTTCCGAATGAGTATATTCAAAATCCGAAAACAGCATTGTATTCAGCTCGTCAAGGCGAATCTTTTGGTATACAGGTTGTCTCCAATATCCTCTTTTCAATAATCTTGAATCTGCATGCGGACGCCTGTTCGCGTGGGTGTAACGCAACAAGCATCACACATAGGAGATTGCGGCGGGCATCCTTCGATAGTACTCTTTCAGTAGATTATTCTGCGCTAAACTGCAGCCGAAGACTCTCTTTTAAAAGAGATAGAAGAGCTGATAAACTCTGGAAAAATCAAGCTGTTCCAAGTTCTACCAGCCGTAACTTCCTTCAGAATGAACATCTTCGAAATCTGAAAACAGTATTGTGTTCAGCTCGTTAAGGCGAATCTTTCGGTATACAGCATGTCCTTGAGATTCCATTTCCAATTTTTTCAAAATTTTCTGCGCGCGTATATTCGCAAGGTCGCAACGCAGCGCACATCAAACATAAAAGACTCCAATAAGCACTATTGGATTGTGCTGCTCCCGCAGATTACCGAGCGCTAAAAAAGAACTGGAGAATCTTTTTCGAAAAAGATAGAAGAGCTGGTGAATTCTGGAAAAATCGTGTTGTGTCAAATTTTGCCCACTGTAACCCTAAAATGGGAAGCTCTCCTGCTAAGCAGATGTGCTTTTCGTAATCAGCAGGTCAGATAACCTCTATGAGCAAGTTTTCAAAGAAATTCGTGTGATTTGATTTTTTCTCGTTCTACGCCCTGAAGCTCGCCGGTGGGTTTGGTCAAAATGTCGATGATCTTGGATTATAAGAAAGCTTCGCTCAAAGAGGTTATCTGACCTGCTGATTACGAAAAGCACATCTGCTTAGCAGGAGAGCTTCCCATTTTAGGGTTACAGTGGGCAAAATTTGACACAACACGATTTTTCCAGAATTCACCAGCTCTTCTATCTTTTTCGAAAAAGATTCTCCAGTTCTTTTTTAGCGCTCGGTAATCTGCGGGAGCAGCACAATCCAATAGTGCTTATTGGAGTCTTTTATGTTTGATGTGCGCTGCGTTGCGACCTTGCGAATATACGCGCGCAGAAAATTTTGAAAAAATTGGAAATGGAATCTCAAGGACATGCTGTACACCGAAAGATTCGCCTTAACGAGCTGAACACAATACTGTTTTCAGATTTCGAAGATGTTCATTCTGAAGGAAGTTACGGCTGGTAGAACTTGGAACAGCTTGATTTTTCCAGAGTTTATCAGCTCTTCTATCTCTTTTAAAAAAGAGTCTTCGGCTGCAGTTTAGCGCAGAATAATCTACTGAAAGAGTACTATCGAAGGATGCCCGCCGCAATCTCCTATGTGTGATGCTTGTTGCGTTACACCCACGCGAAAAGGCGTCCGCATGCAGATTCAAGATTATTGAAAAGAGGATATTGGAGACAACCTGTACACCAAAAGATTCGCCTTGACGAGCTGAATACAATGCTGTTTTCGGATTTTGAATATACTCATTTGGAAAGAACTTATGGCCCTGCGTAGTTTGCGTGATTCACATGAATTTCGCGGAATTTCCGGAATTTCGCGGAATTCCAAGAATTTCGCGGAATTCCCGGAATTTCGCGGAAGTTCGCGGAATTCCCGGAATTTCGCGACATTCACGGAAATTTTGCACATTCTGTGAGCGGTATTGTAATGATGTAATGATGTGGTTTACGAGGAGTCAACATCGATGTCTGATGGTTTTCTGAAGCGCTGTTTACGATTTTGATTTCAGTGTGAGTTTTTGGGACGGTATGATTCTTCAAAAAAATACTCAAAATGAAATAAAACCTATACATGCGCAGATTACAATCCAATTATCGTGTTGTTCAAATCAGTCACAATTTTAATTTTATTCAAGTGCGTCTTTGGTACATTTGTATTTCCAGTGCTTCTTATTTTGAAATAATGATTGATTCTTGTAGAAATTGAATTTCAGTCCAGATGCGACGGCAATTTTGATTTGACGATTAGACAATATTTCATAACATTGCCACGAACTTGAACTACGTCAGAGGTTGCCTCCACAGTAATGGAATCATTTCAAAACTTCTCCTCTGAATTTTAGTGAGAACCGAGCAAGGAAATTCGCTGCTCGTGAAGAAAACCAAGCAACAGAATATAATGCGGTTGGTGTCAAAGAAGTAAGTGAGGCTTTTCCTTCTTCATACATGCGGTTGTCCTCGCTGTTGGTCCTGATTTGGAGGTGAAGGGGTTATTTGTGTGCAGTCATTTAAAACATCCCCTTCGTTTCTTCTTCCAGGATCCAGCGGCTTTATCAGCTGCGCAGTCACACGGTGAAATGCTCGCTAAAGTTAGTGGTGAAAAAGGTGAAAAGGTGAAAAATTGGTGAAAAAGTACCCTATTTTCAGGTGTATAAGCCGCGGGGTGGTCCTAGCTTAAATCGAGCAGCCCGAACACATCAATGGACCTCGCGTCCAAAGGACCCTATACCGTGCTGCGTATTGCCTGAAAGAATCGTGCGGCATAAGGATCGCTTCTCGAAACACAATGAAGCGGCTGAGCAGCCCGGGCGAAAATTTGAAAAAGTGCGGCTTATACACCTGAAAATAGGGTAGTAGTCTATCAATTCCGCATGAGTACGGTGTTTCCAAAATTGAAAAGTAATGTAAACCAGGGTAGGTGAGTTCCTGCGTAGCTCCAAGATTTGCTTACTTACATTCACAATTGTTTGGAACAAATTAGACGAAATAAACCAAATGTCTATGATGTGTAGATAATCCCCATGATATTTCGAAATCTGTCATTAGAAATACCGATTATGAAACAACTACTTGTCACAGCTATATTTTTATACTACGAGGTGTTTTGTAGTTCGACGGACTGTTTGCCTTCAATGTCCTGACTGCTTTACCAAAGTGCATAAATATCTCATGCCTATAAATACCGACAAAAAGTTATGAAATGTTTTGATTTTTACTTTTTTAAACCTAGTTTTATACTATAAACCTGCTTAAATGAGGTTCTTTTTTCTACTACTGCTGTTTGTCGTTGAAAGTGCAAAAGAGGCCGTAACCGAAAAGATTGAGAGGGCATTGAGTGATGTGCACACGGTGAGCTCAATGTACATCATATTTCGTACTATCATTACATATTGTTACATCATACTTACATTTGATTCTATCTCATGTTTAGGTCCTAAACAAAGCTGATTTGATTGCCAAACGCGAACTAATTCGTGCACATGATGAAGAGATAGCACACAGCCTTGAGCTTTCTCCACAGCAACAGTTGAGGTTGGAGAGACTCGATAATGTGCGTGAAAAATTCTGAAATGTGAAAAATAGTTCATACAAGCATAAAAAGAAAATTCTGCAGGAAGTGGTGAATCACATAGAAAGAGGCGAGACCATTTACTCCATTAATGCGAAGTCAGGAATAGGAGAGCTTTTGTACCAGAGTGACATCGTCCTAACAACGTACTTGACTCCATTCGAGTGCTTTTCTAAACCTAGTGCAACCTTCTAGAGAACAAGTGGAGGAGCTTGTAGAAGAATCAAATGACCGAAGAAAACGCCAAGCGGTTAGAGAAATTCGTGGGCATCCAAGTAAGAAATGGCCGAACGGCAGGGTGCCTTACTCATTCGCACCCGGTACAAGTAAGCGTGTATCAGTCACAGTGCTTGTAATCTGTAAAATTCTGCTCCAGGTCCTAGATTCCGACAGATTTTCAAGAAAGGGGCATACCTTTGGCAGAAAGATACCTGTCTTCAGTTTTATGAGGATAATTATGGTAGGGCAGAGATTGCGTTCTAGTGTTGTAATTTCAAATATTTGTTAAGCTGGGGAACGGATTTTGTTGATATACGACGTAGGCTGCTACTCACTTGTCGGAAATAATCACCAAGTGCAACCGCTTTCTTTGGGCAGAGGATGCGATAAGGTAAGCGAGATTAATCTGTAGATGTTTATACTACTTCTACAGACTGTCTCAATGACAGTGTCGTCTGCACAGGGAACGAAGACAAGATCTGCCATTAAGTTCCATGCTTCGCGGACGGCTCGCAGGGAAGCATTCTGAATAGAGGGCCCGTTTGCATTGCCTGAGCTCACTCTGATGTTCCCGCAGCGAACACGGTGGCACAGTACTTCCCATGCATGGCCGTCTCCTCACGATTAAATCATTTGGAGCTTATGTGGCGTCTACGGGGCATTTTCTGGGCATGTTCACACGCTTAACGTCGATCGAAGGCGATGCGTGAAAATGCAGAAAATACGCCCGCAGAGGCAGCAGCGCATTTTCAGGCAAAGCGGCCACGTAACTCGTGCCGCTGGAGCAAACGACACTGTCTTTGCAACAGTCTGTACATATGTTCTGGCATAATAACGAAGCATTTTGCAGCGAGTCGACAATGTCGAACTAGAATGTTATGCTTCATCAGTAGTTTTGCCGTGGCAGAATAGCATTAACAAACAATTAAATTGTGGAAATCATATCAATACAGATTGGCATCGCCGCCCACGAAATTGGCCATTCTCTCGGCTTTTTCCATACACATGCAAGGCACGATCGTGATCAGTATATTTTCATTCATAGGGATAGAATCAAGGTTGGAAGCTTATTGTTGGATTATCTTTCAGTTACTTCATAGAGAAGTTACTTCCAGCCACAAGACCTTAGTCAGTTCAAAAAAGAGTCCCCACATACAAATGACAACTTTGGCATACCGTATGATTATGGGAGCGTCATGCACTACGGATCCAAAGGGTGGGCTATCTAATTAGTACGAATGCGTTTCCATCATGAGAAATAAAATGCTTGAAACAGCTTCATACACGATTGGCTGGAGCACGAACGTAATGCACATTCCATGGTGCCCGTCGATGCCCTATACATCGATACATTAGGATCACCTTTCATTTCTTTCTATGATTTGCTCATGATGAACACACTTTACGGGTGTTTGGGTGAGTCAGCTGTGTGCACTAGAGATGAAGTTTATGCAGCTCTTATTACAGATAAATGCAAACAAAAGCAACATTCACCTGAGCAAATTGTAATCGAACGAGCACATGCACCAGCTATGAACGCCTTCCCACCAGCTTATCCAGGCGGTTTTGGTGGTTTCGGTTTCGGTGGCCCACCTCCAGGCTTTATTGGTGGGCTCAGAGCAGATTTGACAGCAGTGTTGACGGCTTTGGGAGTGGCTTTGACAATATAATTATAGGCGGTTCAAGCTTCAGCGGCAGGGGTTTCCCAGGCAGCTTCGGCGGCTTCGGTTTTGGCGGCGTTGGATTTCCATTCATTGATCAAATGATCTCAAACTTTATCTTTGGTCCTACAGGCTGGGGGAATTTACCCGGCATGGGAGGCTATACTCCCGGCTGGCCACCCTGTTGGGGCTGGGACGGGCCTTGTGAAACCACCACAACCACTACAGCCTCACCCATCAGGCCTCGAACACCAGGGCCACCTGTCCCGTCCGTTACCGGTCCGAACTACTCAAGGGCGCAATGTAAAATGGGAGGTTTTCCACATCCACGCAATTGTTCAAAATGCGTTTGTCCAGGAGGCTACGGAGGCCGTCTTTGTAATGAAAGGGTAGGTAATGTCTTCACATACTTTGTCCCATCGATAGAAGCTTGTTTCGCAGGTTTGAACATTTCACTTTCCTTGCCTCACAAAGCGGTAAAATACGTTAAAAAGCTAGTAGATTTCGACATAAATTTTCTCCTTATTGTTTTTTCTCAATATACGCAGTCGCCATTTTACTATGTTTCACGGTATCTACTTCACTGTGACTGTACTTCTCTCAGAGTTTACAAATGTTTTATTATCTCCACTAGAGTGGATACAGCTTACGCGGGCAAATTCTATATCAAAAAGAAGTGCCGAAAAGCGTCTGTTCTTTGAGAGAATTTTACTCTGTGTTTCATGTGAATTTATGAATTTTGTTCCCCTGCAAACCTAAGGCAACATTTTCTTGAGCGGTAAAATCTTTCACGGCCGGGAGAAACACCTTTAACATAAACGACGATGGAACTTGGAACAACAGCGAGCATATATACGACCCACTACAAGCATTTCAGCCAACAGGAAAAGGGAGAGTACTGAAAGCTTCTACAAATTTCCAACAACTTGTAAACGAAGTGGGTTATCCGCAAGTTAGGAGCACTAATCCGAGGGACGACTACTTGTGGGCTTACTATTGGATACAGGTCTTGAAGTGTGATCTCATGCTGGACATTTCTAAACACTCCCATGTAGGCTCCTCAAGGAAGAAAAATCGAAATAAAGTTTAACTATTTCACGGAATTTATCGCCACTCAAGGATGCGAATGGGCTGGTGTTGAAATCAAAACACAGAAGGATCAACGTTCGACCGGATATAGGCGAGTCGTACCAAGATAAGCGGCACTTTTTCGATAGATATTGTGCTTCATTTTAGGATATGCTCTCCTGCATATTCTGGGAAGGTATTTAAATCGGATAGAAATCTTGTGCCTATAATGATGTGGAGCAGAATTGGACCAGCCAAGACAGTTCTACACTATCGTATGGGTATGCTTTTTGATATTTGTTTGAAAATCATTCCAGGTCCTTATCTGCTCATCTTCCAGTCTGAGCGTGTGAGCTGAGCAGTTTAACAACGTCGTGCACTATATAGCTGTCGTTTTACGATTTTTTTTTGATTGTTTGATTTTTTCGTATCTCAGGAAAGTAGCAGATTGTTATGTTGTTGTTTATGCTAGAAGATTAAGAAGCTGTACATGTGTAAAATTTGACTTCCATTTGAGCACACACTAGACAAAGCAGAAGGAAGAGACACATAGCAGCCGGAGCAACTAGAAACCGCTCGTAATCTGTGAAAAAATTCACCGCTCTTCGCCGGACTTCGCCGAACTTTTATTGCATCACCATATCTTGCTTCGGAGTGGAGAACTCTCAATGCAAAGGCACCATTCAACTTAGCTCGACGAGTTTCATCCTTTGATATGTAAGATTGCCTGTTTGGGGCACGACTCGTTAAATTTAGGGAGCCCTCCAAATTTTTTCGGTATGTTGGTCGTTGGGCAACAGACAAGACCCTGAGTAACCTACTGTGAGGCAAAAATCTAAAAGGATCCTTGACATTTGACAGATTATCGCTTCCACACAGGCACTTCTATATATCAGAAAATGCATCTCGTCGAGCTGATTTAGATGGTGCTTTTGGATTCAGAACTCGTCCACCCCGAAACAAGATATGGCGATGCAACCAAAGTTCGGCAAACTCCGGAGTACGGTGATTATTTCCACAAATTACTAGTATTGTATGCTGCGCCTATGTTTCTGGAGAGGCTTGATGTTTCTTTTTGATTCCAAGTCTCAAATCACCTAGACAATAACGTGGGTGAGCCGCAGGCAGTCCGACATGGCGTGGCGCGCCAGGAGAGGGTGAATACCTCTGTTAGGCCCAGCCTCTGCGAACTTGTGGTTATTTCCGGCACCCGGCGCCGCCTGTATCTGAGGTGACATCGTCTTCGACAAGCGACGCGCCTCATATCGCTCTCCAGGAGCTCGCAGCCGCTTCTTTTGCGGAGCGCGAAAACAGCATATGCTAGTGTCGAGGTACAGTCTTTCCCAATCGGAAACAGGGCGAAATGTTGGCTTGAAATCTCGCGCTCGTAACGCTACGGTTTGTGCTAGACGTGACGCAAAAGCATAGCGGTGCGCACGCTTTTGGCCTACCCGGATAAGGGGAGACTGTATAAGTTTTTCCATAAGTTCGAGTGCTGCTGTCACTCTACACCCCCTCACTGTCCCTACTCCATTCAGATGCACAGATGTATGGTAACTCATTCATAGAAGCAGGAGTAGACAAGTTTCTGTACGAATTTTCTCATTAATAGAATGCGATATTTGTAGGTTTCATAACAAGGAGTGCTTTTATCACGCCAAGAAGTCGCTTACGGGTGCCTAGTCGAGATCGTAATAAAAGAGCTAAATTTTTCTCTTGCTTTCGCCAAAAGTTAACCAAGCCTAATCAAGTAAATTGAGTTTTTAAAGGCAGTGGATCAGCGAAATCCAACAACTCGGGATTTTAACGCGGTAGGTTCCTTATTGCCCAACTATGAAAACAGTGCAATCCCGGTTGCACAGCATGCTTTCCCTACCGAGAAAATCGCTCTCGAGCTTAAACGCGCAGGCCAATCTTACACGCATCTGGACGAGTTGGCAACTTCCTTCTCACCATTGGAGGCTGCCCGCCGCAACGCTATAACCATTGGGTCCTGCCACGATTTAGCGTCATCGGCCTTGCTCCACTCGTCCAATACCAAAGGGGAAGGGCATTAAAGAACGCTCATTTCGCCGTTTTCAAGTTTTCAAAAGTGGGTTTTCGTGATCAGCGTATTGAAAAACCCCAGGTAAGCGCAAATTTGACTAGGTTGAGATTTGCCGAGCCACTGCCTTTAAGTTCGTATGCTATATTATTTCAATTCAAGTTTCTGGCATTGAAGTGTACTTATAAGGAAAGCTACCTAACTTAGCTCGGCCTTTTGGTAAAAGGCATATATATTCTGAATCAGCTTCAAACGCTGATTCCAAATATGCTATTCCTAGCTGCCGCGCACCATTCCGAAGCGAGTTATGGGTTTTTCCTACGCAAAATTGGCTTTACTGAACATGAGAAGACTGCCTGTAGATAGAAATCTGCAAGAAAAAGGTGCTGAGATATCGAAATAGTACAAATCCAATCTTTTCTCACTGGAAAAAAGGTTAACGCAGCTGTATCAGCACTCAAATGATGATGATATAATGCTCGTGAGTCGATGAGCATGCCAATTTTGCGCAGGAAAAAGCCCATAACTCGCTTCGGAATGGTGCGTGGCAGCTAGGAATAGCATATTTGAAATCAGTGTTTGAAGCTGATTCAGACCATATATGTCCCTTGCAAAGAGGCCGAGCTAAGTTAGGTAGCTTCCCGTTGGATCTTATGCGATTATTACCTTTCACGCGTTTCACGCTCGAAACAAGGCCGATGTGCCTCACTGGGACCATACCGGAGTGTTCTGTATCCAAGGTTGTAGCCACGGGAAAGAGCAAATTTGCAGTGAAAGAGTAGTATACAAATGGAAATCTGTCACAAACTTCTGTCACTAACGTTCCCCCCCCTCCAAACGGTCGGCTTATTTTTGCTGCTCTGATCTAACCAACGATCGAGGATAGTTAAGAAGTTTGGTGGAAAAACCGTGGCTGGTCCACCGAAGGATGCCAAGACGAAATACCAAAGAACGCAGGATCCAGTGACGACAAAAACAGTTGCGCGTATGTTTTTACAATACTCGTTCTCTATATAGTGAGGAAAGGTTAGGTGCGCTAGAGGAGGAGCTAAGTATGATGAGATTTGACATTGTCGGACTATGCGAAACTCGTTGCAGTGGTGCTTCTTATACGAAACGAGGCTTCTCGAAGTTACACCTCTATAATACTTCTATAATGGTGGACGAACAAATGAAGAAGCCACTAGAAGGGGAGTCGGCATACTAGTGAATGAGCGCATTTATCGTTATTGCGTAGCCGTAACCTTCGTCTCGGAACGCCTTATCCAGATTCACTTCCGGGTGCGGGGAAGGTCTATGCGAGTTTCTATACCTACGCACCATGGCAAGAGATTATGAAGAATATGTAGAAAAACTTCGATGCGCACTCTTACAAAAACGATATACCTATGATATCTTAGTTGGCGACTTTAACGCATGTATAGGAAGAGATGGGCCACGGAGCGAATACGTCGGCGACAAGTGTCTTGGAATACGGAATAGTGAAGGGCAGGCCATGCTTGAGTTCGCTGATTTGAAAGATTCTATGTGATGAATTCCTTTTTCGAAAATCCTCACAGACGAAGATGGTCTCGGCGATCTCCTAATGATAAGTGCTCGGAGATAGATTACGTATTGACACGACAACTAACGACGATCATAACTAATATTGCTGTTCTCAACAAGTTTAATGCTGGAAGTGACCACAGACTTATTCGGGCTGATGTATCCGGACCATGCACAGTAAAGTACGTTTTGCTCGCTGCCTCTCGATTATTACGAGCTCGAAATAAACACAGCTTTACTCAATGATCCCCGAGTAAATGAAATTTCATCATCGACTCTGATATCGAATGATCCGGTGAGCTCTTGGTTACAACTACGCACGTCAATATAGGAGGCTGCTGCTCATGCAGAAGTCCATTGGGAACCGCTAAAACGAATATCCGATAGAACTCAATCTATTTTTCGCTTAAGACGTGAGATGAAGTACAGAATAAGAGAGAAAAGTTCTTTCGACTCCGTTGAATACTCCACTGTTTGCAAGGTTGCCAGACGGTCAATAGAAGACGATCTTCATCAACATCATCTTTCTGTTTTGAAGCGTGCCATTCGAGTCAACCGCATAAAGCGTGGCCGTCTTGAGCTTGTTCATCAACGAGAAACTATCTGCCAGCTACGCCGACCAGATGGGACGCTAATAACCAACTCCACCGAAGCTGGTTTACTCGCTACTACTTACTTTGTTGAGCTTTACGGAATACGCGACAATCCCATTCAGCCTCACGCCCATCGACTCATGAATTACCCTATAACTGCGGACGAGTAGAGGATAGCTGCCTCAAAAATTCGCGGAAACACTGCTCCAGGCATCGATGGAATCCGATCTATAACGGCGAAGTATAGAGTAGAGATTGTTGCACCACAATTAGCAGATATCATTAACCGAATGTTCGAGGAAGGTAGCATACTCAGTGAATTTGCGCATGCTTCCATGATTCTACTTCACAAGAAGGGCGATCGGTATAACATCAAAACTACCGCCCGACCTCCCTCTTATCTTCATCGTACAAGGCTTTGACAAGAGCTTTGGCCCACCGAATAGAGGAGAAGGTAGATAAACGTCTTTCCCTTGAGCAAGCCGGTTTTCGACAAGCGTTCTCAACTACCAACCACTTGCAAACCATCAACCAACTTATTAAGAGACCTATGAATACCATCCACCAACAGCACTTCTTTTACTCGATTTTGGAAAAGCTTTCGATACTATCAATTTCAACGCCATCTGGGAAGCTCTTGCCTATTGCGGTAGATAATGACGCGATTTTGATGATACAACTATTATATCAAACCGCAACAGCCTCACTTCAACTCAACAATATCGATACTTCTTTCAAAATACATAGAGGAGTCCGTCAAGGCAATGCATTATCTCCGCTCATTTTCATCACATGTCTGCAGTATGCGATCGAATCTATACAGTGGGAAGAAGGAGAAGGATATGACATTGGTGGAAAGCATTTACGTTACCTCAATTTTGCGGATGACGTTGTACTTATAGGTTCAGTCCAAGTCATTTGGAATCAATGGCTGTAAAGCTTCTTCATGCATGTTTTCAAATAGGACTTCAAATTAATGGCCACAAAACCAAGTGGTTGGGCGAAGACGGAGACAACACTTGTACAAGCTCGATAATTACACTGAGCTTCAATGTAACTGAACGTGTAGATTGCTTTGTATATCTTGGACAGCTAATTCAATGCCAAGGCAGTCATGATAAAGGAATTTCCAGACGCATAAGTGCGGCATGGAATGCATTTCGAAAAGTACGACAATTTCTTGGCAGTTGAAATGTTGCTGTTCATCTCAAATGCCGTTCAATAACGTGATACTTCCAACGCTTGTATACGGTTGTGTGAAACTCGGGCAATGACTAAGAACTCGCTGCTGAAACTTTTTCGATGCCAAAGAAAGGTGGAACGATCAATGTTAGGATTCCGCTTAAGAGACCAAAAATCTTCAAAATGGACACATTCTATTACGAAACTGAAAGAAGTGTAGTCGCAATAGCTCGTCGAAGTAAATGGCGATTTGCTGGAAGAATACTTGGGAAAGAAGGCGAAGAAAGATGGAAGACATGCTTACACGTTAGATTCCACCCATTGGCCGACGTTTCGGTGATGGATAACCTAGAACGCGATGGGAAGATGACATCCATAAGCATTGCAAGATATATAAGGCTGATTGTAATTGGCAGGAACTAAGAATGGAATGTGCTGTGGAGAACACTTGGTATTACATATGCGATCCCACTACTGACATAATGAAGCCTTACATAGTATCATCACGGTCTCTTACATGAATAATGTTAACCGTTGAGAATGAATAAAAGATAAAAAGATGAAGGATACAAATGGAAATTATAGTCGAAAAAAAGAACATCACTAAGACGTGAAAGAGCCAGGAAACTACTAATGATGTTAATCTGGGGTCAACATAGCATTAACAAGACGTCAGTTTCTCCACCATGCACCGTTTTCGCACTACGATGACGATAGAAGCGGCTAGGGCTTTTGGAAGCTGCTAGCGGCCGTATCTACATGGAATCATTGTGCTACAGTGGACCATGTTTGACCCATTGATGACGATGCGGACCACCGGTGACCCATACCTCTTGCAAAGTCATATTATTTGTGGGTCTAGTTTTTTCTACATATCAATTCTTTCCAGTTTTTTGTGCTCTTGGGACTTGTAGGCCCCGTCGTTCAAGAAAATGTTTATAGTTGTTCACAAAACAACCTTGCAGTTCGTAAACAACCACAAAACTTTCCCACATCGAAAGTGTTGTGCAAAATCGCGTCGTCTCACAACCTCGTCACGCAAAATTAGGCGTCGTCGTTAATGGGTTATTAACATTACAAAAAATAAACAAAAATAAATCGCAAAAATCGTATTCTCTCTTGAGAGTATTCAAGAAGAGTGCTGAGAGTAGAGTATAAATCCCAGGAGAGTCTCAAGTTTTGATTTGTTTGGGTCTCACTTCAAATAAACCCCATATGAGTGGTGGCTTCAGACAGTTGCTTCCCGACTCGCAGTCGCGTCCATATTCACAAACTCGCATCATAAGCAAGTGCTGTAGCATTTTCTGACACACATTTGGACTGTTAATGAGCAAGTAAAGTTCCGAAGCTAAGGAGGAGTCAGATCACTCGATATGATAAAAAGTTTCCATTCTTACGGGTACTGTAGGACTATCGTAACCGGCCAGATTCTGTATTCACATAGTAATCGGCACAAAATTAATCTTCGAGTATATCTCCCCGCATTTTTAAAGGTGCACATCCTAAAAGGTTGCAAGGAATAGCGCTTATATCTGATCATCTGCCTTCATAGATTTGATCAGTTTTCTGCTATTGAATCAGGCAATTAAGTGCGGACAGGGAGCATGCTAAATGCGGACGTACATTCACTTGATAATGCTCATTACCTTTATTGATTTTATCGAATTCAAACTAATTAGGCGCTTGGGAGTTGGTGCAGGGGATAGGTGAGCAAGTGGCTACGAAACATGCAGGAGTCAGGGAACTGGCATATAGAAGTGAGATAGGGACAAGCAAATGTTACAGAAGTGAAGACTGGCGATCTTTATCATAGCTTTTAAGCTAACAGTAGAATTAAGAAAAAAGATCTTGCTAGATGCATCATATCAACTTCATATGCTGGAACCAAGAAATTCACTTGCTGAAAGGTTATTACTCATTGAAAATTGCTACGAATGGGAGTACATCTGTAGTTTCAGTATGACAAGAGAACATACTCTTTATTACGGAGATTCCAGATATGTATTCTTGCATCGTGGCTTCTGATACTATGAAAATTCATATGACGCTTCTAGCAGCATTAAACATTCTGCGCCCACCAGTCTTACAAGGGAGATACTATCAATGGCCGTGGCCTTTTGATATGCGATGCAAATCACCTGAAGCAGCTTCGAACGCTGATTTCAAATCTGCTTTCCGTTTCTGCGGAGCGCCCTTCTGAAGAGAGTTATGGAAGCCTGAAAATCCTATTTTGGGGCGCTCTTTGAGTTTGAGAGCGGTGCTATGTGCGTCGGTGGTGCAGTGTGTGAGGGTTTGTTTTTGGCATTGAAGAAGAAAGGTCGGTGGTTCGAATCTGGTGCAGAGCGAACCATTTGGCATATTGAATGTGGGTTCAAGAACCACTTTAATTCGTCTGCAGTCACTTATGTAATACCTTAGCAAATGTGACCTAGGGAAAAAATTTTCTGGCAAAACCGCTTGCTTGTTGAGATTTGGTTTTCTTAGCAAAAAAATATGTACAGAGGTAAAGTGAAATTGCAAAGGGGCAAAAAAAAAGACATTTTTCACAACGGGAACAGCGTATGAAGAAAAAATCCTCGCAATTCTCATGCTCGCAAGTACTCATCAAACTGAAGGCAGGAGAGAGCATCTTCTCTATTGATGATAGTGCGCACTCCTTGAGCTTTATAGGGTGGTGAACATGTTTCACCATATTCATTCCTGTATTACTAGTAACGAAGTCAGGTAGAGTTTTAAGGCCTCATTACACGCAGTTATGCCAGAAAATTTTTCTCTTAGGTCACATTTGCCCGAGGGTATTACACTAAGTAACTGCAGACGAATTAGAGTGGTTTTTGAACTCACGTGCAAAATGCAAAATGGCTCGCTCTGCAACGGATTCGAACCAACGACCTTTCGCCTTCAATGCCAACAACTAACCATTACAGCACTGCACCACCGAGTCACAAACCACCGCTCTCAAACTCAAAAGCACCCCAAAATAGGATTTCCAGGCTTCCATAATTCTCTTCAGAAGGGCGCTCCGCAGAAACAGAAGCAGATTTAAAATCAGCGTTTGAAGCTGCTTTGGACGGTATGCATTTTATATCAAAAGGTCACGGCCATCGAAAGTACTTCCCTCGTTAGAGAGAGAACAAGGTTATGCTGTCGATGATGGGTGTTTGATAACATCTACTCCTATCATAGGTAGAAAAAGAAGCGGAAAACTCAAGTCTAAGGACGAGAGCACTGTCAAAACTTGTACTTTCGATTTAAGAATACCTTAACCATTTGCTCTAAGAGCTTTGGACAAGCCATCTTTATTCAAACATCAATTCAAAATAAGAATACGATCGAGCGCATCACATATCAGCGGCACTAAAACTTCACACTTTTTATGTAAATCACGTAAAAGCTATAAACTAGCGATAAAAAGGCGATTAGCGAAACAAGATTGGTTTTCTTTAAAAAAAATATTAGATAACCTGCATATAAGGGCGCATAACACTGTTTCGACCGTCCCGCAGCTTGCTATCTCACTCCATAGTATACTTTGGACCGAAGCGAATGATTATTCGAATTATTCGAATAAATCATTCGAATGCGAATGACTCGAAAATTCGAATATTCGAAAATCTGAGATTTCGGATAATTTTCGATACTCGAATATTTGAAAATTTTCATTTTCAAATATTATTTGATAATCTAGTATCTGAATTCGTTTTCGAATTTCTTTCGATAGTCGAATATTCGATGTTCATAATTCGATCATTCGATGTCCATCGAATATTCGAAAATTCGATGAGTATCGAATTTCGGAAATTCGATATTGCAGAATGTTCCAAGAGTATCTACACATTGTTTGATTTCCAATACCTCTCACGAAGTCTTTTGCTAACTTTTGGGTAACATTCTATAGGGATGGCTTCAGCTTACAAATACAGCAGAAAACGAGTCTGGTTTCTTTTTTGGAGAAGCGGGTCTTGATGTCTCAAAACCCTCTTCAATTTTCCTACGTTAATTTTGAACAGTGAAAAGCGATCGATAAATCGCTCCATACTGTAACTCTAAATTGATATCAGCCCACAGATCTGCGTACTGTTGGGGCCCCTGTATATCAATCCACATTTCATTAAGAACGAGACCTTCTTTGAAGTTCGAAAAATCTCTTCACAACCGTTACAGGAGTACGCTTTCGGGTTCTAAAGTCTCTTCAATTCAGTAAACCGTTTTTTTACATTGTAAATTGTAATATAAAAAAGGGCCTATTCTTGATAACACTTACATGAAACAATTTATTCTCAGATGTTTTGGTCTCTCATAGACAGTCTCATTGACATAAATTGTTCGAATAGTATTGGAGAATCGAATGATATTCGAAGAAATAATATTCGCGAACTAAATAATATTCCAAGTTCGAATAACGATTGATATTCAATATTCGAATATTATTCGATTCGAAAATTTCCATTCTCGAATAATTTTGATAGTCAAATATTGGAAGTTTTTGATTTGGGATAATATTCGATAGTCGAATATTCGAGATTTTCGACTTTCGAATACCTATCATTCGATATCAAATATTCGAAAAAAATTTCGATATTCCTAAGTATACTCCACAGTTAATCTTCTTTTTCAGGATGAAGACCATCCTCTTCTTTTTGACCTTTCTTGGAGGTCTTCTGTATGCTTCCCCTTTGAGCGACAGCGAAAAGGTACATAAGCTTCATATAGACTGTTCCTATGACAGTGTCACAGCTCCAGCGACTCGCATTTCTCGACCGACTCGTTCACTTTGTGCAGCGTTCGTAAACGCAGACTAATGGCGTTGTGTTGTTTTTACACGCTAACCCTCCGTCGCTACTCAGAAGTGGAGAAATGCCCAGAGAAATACATTCGCGAATAAGACTAACACTGAGCAAGGCGGCCGCAAGACGCGCTGACAAGATGTGACACTGTCACTGATACAGCCCTGTACACATGGTTATGTTTTATAACCTACTAAGCACTATTCAAGGCGGAACTTGAAGAGTTTCGAAAGGAAATAAAAAAGGAAGTCCGGGCGAACGTCACCAAGCTTATTGGTGAGCTGAATGCGGCATTGGACAAACACATCGCGACTGTCGACGACAAGTCAAAGAGTCTCAGTGAAAAGGTCAAGGGTCTTTTGGAGCTGAGAAAGGAGAACCCCAAGGTCAAGATAAAAGTAGGCGCATTTACTTGGTCAACCCTTATTCGTTCTAGGTGTACAACGTTTTGTGGGCAATACTCGAGAAATTCATTTCGCAGAAATATTCTCACAAGAAATATGAGAATCTTAATGAGACAGAAAAGGTACGTTAAGGATCAGAAAAAATTATACTAATGAGCTTTATTTGAGGCAGAGTTAGATGAAAAGAAAAAAGAAGTGCGGGCGAACGCCAAAAAACTTATTGGTGAATTGAGTGCAGCGTTGGATAAAAGGACTGCAATTCTAGACGATAAGTCAAAAACTCCAAAAGAAAAGCTGAATGCCCTCTTGGAGCTGAGAAAAGAGAATTCAAACGTAAATAAAAGCAAAAAGGTGAAAGCTATGTTTCGAGTGTTTCTTTTCCTTCTAGGCGAACGACATTTTGGATGTCACCTTTGAACAATTCCTTCCAAAACGTAGACACCTTGAAAAAGGAAGGGAACCATCAAAGCAACTAAATGACACCGAGAAAGTAAGTGATGGCAGAATTCCATCGAAGTAGAGTTTCATTTGAGGCGAGAAGGGAAGAGTTGATAAAAGAAGTTCGAGCGAACGTCACCAAACTCATTGGTGAACTGAACGCGGCTATGGACAAACAGATCGCAATCGTTGACGACAAGTCCAAGACTTTCAAAGAGAAGGAAAAAGCTATTTGGGAGCTAAGAGAGCAGAATCCGAAGGTCAAGAGGAAGGAGGATTGATTGACTCGATTGATCCTCATTTTTTTAGGTGTACAACGTTTTGTGGGCCATCTACGAGCAATTTACTCCAAAGTTTAGACATCTCGGTAAAATATATAGAAAGCTCAATGATACCGAAAAGGCAAGTTTATGTTGTGATAGAGAAGCAAACAGTACTTAATGTGAAATTTGAATGAATTAATGTGAAATTTCAGGAGAATGTAAATGATTTAATCAAGGAAGTCCGAGCAAACGTTACCAAGCTTATTGGTGAATTGAGCGCAGTGTTTGAAAAAAGGACTGCAATTCTCGACGATAAGTCAAAGACTCCAAAAGAAAAGCTGAAGGCTCTTTGGGAGCTAAGAAAGGAGAATCCAAAAGTAGAAATAAGCCTAAAGGTTAAAATTTTCTTCCGAGATCTCTTCCTCTTCTAGGCAAACTACATTGTGGATGTCGCCTTCAATCAATTCAATAGAAGGAGACGCTCTCGAGTGACATTGTCGAACCAACCGAAAGAGAGACCAACCGATATGGTGAGTCTTGAGTATAGGGTTGTGTGGATCTCTGTATAAACTACTTCAGGCAAAACTTGAGAAGGCAAGGGACGAAATAAGGAAAGACGCGCGAAAGTAGCAGATTGTTATGTTGTTTTGTGCTAGATGATTTCAAAAGAAGTTTTGCATATGTAAAATCTGACTTCCATTTAAGCGCACATCAGACAACTGGTACTACATTCTCACTAGGATACTCGGAAATGCTGCGCCTATGTTTCTGAACAGGCTTGATGTTTCCTTTTCAGTTCCAAGTCTCAAATTACTCGGACAATAACGCGGGTGAGCGGCGGGACCAGTTTCGCCGTGTGGCACGCTAGCTAGAGGGATGACTACCTTCGCTAGGCTCTGCTTCCGCGGACTTGATCATTTCCAGGAGGCATATCTAGAGGATCAGTAGTCCGCGGAGGCGCGCCCAATGGATTCCGTTCATTTCTCAGACATTCGTGCTTAAATCGCGCGTAGAAAACTTATGTAGTCAAGAATGGCTGCGGGACTTAATCAAATCTGTCGCAAGAAATTCTGGACACCGGCATTTTGTTCGGGAGATTACGGCCCGAGATCACTTAATCTTTCCCATTCATACAGAACGGGAGAAATTCTGAGGTGCAGCGCAAGATTCAATGATGTTCAAATACGGCGCAACTTGCACCCATTACTGTTCTCTTGAGAATATTTGGGACTAGCTAGCTTACCCGGCTCCGCCCGGCCCTGTCAAAAACGACAAAGGTTCCACTTCATCCCTGTACACTTTTACCTGTGCACACTTCTACATGCAATTCCCTATTCCCGCTGTGTGAGTAACCAGTATGCTCACCTACCTTCCTCACCAACCCTCTTCCCCCCGCAGCTCAAACTTTGCAAAAAAAAAACCAATAAAATTGATAAAAGTAAGGATAATTCTAAAAACCAATGGCGTTTTTCGGCTATCCGGGCCCTAAAATGTTTTTGTGGTAGGGCTTGCTCAAACTCGGTATGTGGAGGTTAGTCAAGCCGCTGATGACGAATTAAGTAGTCATTTCGCGTGGCAGCGGGTAAAAATCATGAATCTGCCTGAAGCCCTGGCAGGGAAATACCTAAAGTCTGTTTCAAGAAAATCGTGCTTAATCCCCAGGATAACGGCAATTTGTGTGGTATAAAAGTTTATACAACCGCAATGCTTTCCTTATAGGCCCACTGCCGCGGCGACACACCCTTCGGCGGCTTTTGCCTAAGCAAAAGCAGGGGAGGGAGATTTACCGCGTGCGTTACGCATTGAGACAGGTTATCAGTATCCTTATACCACTGCCGCGCGCGATACACCCTTCGGCGGCTTTTGCCTAAGCAAAAACAGGGAGAGGGAGATTTCGCGTGCGTTACACGTTGGGAAAGGTGATCAGTTTCCTTACAGGACCACTGCCGCGCGCGATATACCCTTCGGCGGCTTTTGCCTAAGCAAAAACAGGGAGCGGGAGATTTGCCGCGTGCGTTAAGCGTTGGGACAGGTTATCAGGATGGCGCTGGAGACCGCCATGCAAAACGACCGTTTCCCCACTTCGTGAATATCTGGGATCTAAATTGGCCCGAAAGCGAAAAAATGTCCATTCAAACCCTGCAACTCACCATAACTTCACTAATGCGTTATGACAGCGAGCAAGCACCATATTCATAAGCGATATACTTGTGAACCGTTGCAGGTAAGGTTTTGAGCAAATCTGGAACTTCGACCCATCTACACCCACCGTAACCCAAGAAAATGCACTATCCTGCGAAATTAGCATGTTACTCATGTTCAGCGCGCTAAATGACCACCCTAGACGAAGTTTAAAGCAAATCTATGTTTTCGACCCCATACCGTATAACCACCATAACTCTATGAAAAGGTCCCAATATGCAGAGAGAGAGAGAGAGAGAGAGATAGAGAGAGAGAGAGATGATATTCGTAATTAGCATGTCGAAAAGCCATATGGACCGAACTCCAGCCGAATTCATGAGTTTGACTTCCTAGCGTACACCTATCGTAAGCACGGGAGACGTTCTGCGGAGAAAGTGTGATATCTGTAATCAGCATGTAAAGGGCCGGGCATACTTCACGCGATTTCAGTCGCAACGCGATTTGGCAATTCGCCAGAAGTCTTCGGATCCAACATTAGCAAACTGCACATGCATAGTGTGTATAACTTATGTAAACTGATGAAATGCCCTGTCTTCTGTACATTTTTAATGTGATTACAATGACTTATGGACACCTGAATACTGCCAAATCGCGTCGCGATTGAAATCGCTTGAAGTATGCCTTAAGATAACTCTTATACACAAAGTTTGAGCAAGCTCTATCACAAAAAAATTTGCGGCCTGGATAGCCGATTAACGCCAAACTAATATCGAACTCGTAATCAGCGTGCTCGATTACCCCAAACTCTGGAAACTGCAAACTCCCATAGCTCAAACTTTGCAAGAAAATCGATAAAATCGATAAAAGTAATGGATAATCCTGAAAGCTATTATTGTATTCGAAATCCCCATGCTCGATTACCCCCCCCCCCTTGTGCAAACTCCCAGCCCCATAGCTCAAACTCTGCAAAAAATCGATAAAATCGATAAAAGTAATCTATAATCCTGAAAACTAATACTGTATTCGAAATCCCCATGCTCGATTACCCCCTGTACTCCCAGCCCCGTAGGTGAACTCTACAAAAAAATCGATAAAAATCGATAAAATCGATATCGATCGATGACGAAAAGTAGCCTATGACATCCGCCGGGGCCCGAAGCGTATGTGTGCCAAGTTTGGTCCGGATCGGTTCAGAAATGGAATTTTCTATTCGGAACATAAGTACATACAGCCATAACATTCAGATACAGACATACATACAAACAGACATTCAGCTTTATATATAAGATGCAACTTGCACTCAGTCGCGTTAACAGCAAAACTACTATAAATCCCTTCAGTTCAATGAATCAAAAAAGCAAAAATTACACTCTTCTTCAAAAGTTTACAAAATTCAGTGCGAAAGCTTCTTTCGGCTTCCTTGCTACATTAACAAAATATCATCCTATTATCACCAGAATGATTGCGATTCGATCAGTGCAGATAAAACTCGATTGTTTCTTTAACACGTTGACGACCGCGCCATTTTGGGCGAAACTCCCACTAACGTCCTTCGCGCATTTGGCCCGTGCATACGCGCGGATGCACGAAAACATTATGTGGGAGTCTTTTTATCACTTATTAATAAAACATGCGAACTTTGTTTAGACATACAGGTATATCACAGAGTCTTACCAGGACTTACACAAATCAAGGTTTTTGCATCGATTTTCTCTCCAATAGTCCATGCAATGGCTATATCTGAGAACTCGCTCTTCGAGAAAAGCGTTGTAAAGCCAGATGTTTTTTGCCTGATTCATCATTGTTTGATTTCGAAACAGCTTTACAGAGTTTTCACCTTCTCGAGAAAACGTAATTAGCATGTATTGACTACATCAAAAATGTACTGATTACCCAATTTTGCGGCCAAAACTTCTGAACAGCTGCCGCGATGCCCTGTGTTCTGTAAGACAATCAGGCCACTACTAGTATTACTGCATGGAAGTTACCTTAAAACTTTTCGTTTGCACCTAAAAAGCTAGTGCATATGCGCGGATGCACGAAAATGCTAAACGGGAGTCAGGGCGTGCATACGTGCGGATACACAAGGTTGTCAACGTGTTAAAGAAAAAGTGGTTCCCAGGATGAAGAAGAAGCAAGCAGCGAAGCTTGTTGCATCACTTGCTATCGAGAAACATTAGCTAGAAATTACGATGACTGATTTTTAAAGAGGAAAATACATGCTAAAAGATGGAAAAGTTGAGAATTCTCAGGAAAAGCAGTTTCTAAGTTCGTTTTTTTTTCTTATTCAAAATGGACTGCCGTAGGCTCAAATCAACTGCTGCTCGCTTTGCTTGAAAACCAAAGAATGATGCGTAAAAAGTACGAACTCATGCTACCGCAACTAGAGCGCTTGCTTGCTGTTCAAAGGGGAGAGGGAGTTTTTGCGCAGTGATCCTTGACTTAGTAAATCCGGCGAAGTGATGGCCTGGCTCAGTCCTTGTGCGTCCATTACAAAAGCAAAGCAGTAACTTCAACTGTTTGGAGGGAAGCCTGAAAAACAAGATACGATTTGAAAAACCACAAGACAAGGAAGAATAAGAAGAAAATGCGAAGAGAGCAATTGAATGCAGCCTGAAGAGCGGCGACGCCAAAAAATGAGCGCCGTTCCAAACGGCGATTTGCCATGCTTAGTTTGACTGCGTACATACGAAATCGCGAGTAAAGCGGAAGTCGCGACGGGTGTCATGACTGCAACAGTACCCATTTTTTCGCGACCATCCATTTTGTGGGTGGATCTACTGCGCGAGCCAACCACAATGTCTAAGTTACCCCGCCTTTATGCAGGTATGGCATCGTTGACAATAAGCGGCGCGCGTCATGTCGCGCTCTAAAGCCTCGTTTTTTATGTCAGTGAAACGCAAGAACATTATAATCTGGTGTCGAGGACAATCTGTATCAATCGCGGTTAGGGCGAAGCGTTGGCTTGATGCGTGCTCGCAACTCGTAGGACGCTGCATGTGCGCTCTTGAATCATGTTGCATAGAAGGCAATGAGGAAAGAAGAAATGGATCCAGAGCTTAGCAGAAATGGCGCTTTCATATGCTGGATGTCGTTTCTAGAGCGAAGCAAGAGAGAACCCGAGTTACAGTAATCCCCGGAAATCAAATGAAAAATTAGCAAGCACTTCTCTAACTCTTAGTGAGCCCAAATTCAAGGCTCTGACCTCATATATGAACACCACAAATTGTCCTTTGTAGTTTTCTGCATTTCAAGGGGTATTTCGATTTTAATCTCTCAAAAGCAAACCCTGATCGGTCCCCGCTACGATAACAAATCAAAGACGCGCAAAACCACAGCGGTGACGTGCATCAAACCACGTGCTCCTCTTCCGGACTGAGACATCTGTGTATGCTTCATTGGTCCACTATGATGCAGTCGCTTTACACCTGTCATTCTCACTTCTCCAAGATGTACAGTTGTATCGTGACTTAGTTATAATAAAGGAT